TTTTGGCTTCAGGGGAGTGAAGTTAGGCCTTCAGTTTTAGCTTATTTTTGAATGTTAATTTCAGATTAAATTAACATTTGACAAACGTACTCCAACGGCTGTAAGTATGACTCTGAAATGGGCATAAACAGCCACCCCCCATACTTCACTGGCCCTGGCAGCACCTCGCATTCAAACAGACCATGACAGCGCTGCCTTGGCTGGTCTTCTCACCGCCGCCAGAAAGTGATAAAACTTTTACTTGCTGCTTCCGTAGGACTGTGGCCAGATCCGTGCCTGGCCTGATGAGGCCCCTGTCACTGGTCCCTCCTTGGTGCATCCGCAGCACAGATGGTGCTGCAGCGATGCTGCTCTGCATGGCATGGCAGCACCGCGGGCAGGGGCATGGCAGAGGCTTTGACTCTCCAGGGATAGGAGGGGGGCAACACTTACAGGAAGAGGTACTATTTTTACAGTAGACCAGGTGATATATTTGCAAGAAATGGACGGTCGCTGCCTGGGTTCAAAGTTTCTCAGAGTCAGCGTCGAGTCCAAAAGCTGTTTGTCTTTTTTTTTTCTTCTTCTTTTTTGTTTTCCCCTCCCCTCAAACTTACAGTTTCTCTGCCTGTGGTAACTACTTATCTTGTAGCTAACAGAAAGTACTTTCATGTTTCTTGACAATGCAGTTAATTCTGTGTCTGAGGTGTATTTGTAACTTCCTTCAGCACTTAAAAAATTGAGTGGCGAATGCCTGTGCACAAGCATACACAAACACTCAAGGATTTCTGTAGACTATGTGATAACCCTGACATATCTTCTGCTTTAAAATTAATTGCACCAGATTTGCACGTGATACCCAGTTTCTGTCTGACTTATTTTGATGGCAGATGAGACCCTGGTTAAATGAATTCTGCTTTTCTCATAATGGTGTGAGGAGAGAAGGAAAGGGAAAATAATAGCACGGAGATACTCGAAAGTTGGTTTGGAGAGAACAGTTTTGCTCAATGGCGTATTTATGTGATGTGAGAGGGGCAAAATCTGAAATATTTTGATCCATTTTTAGACACTGTAGACTATTCAGAAAGTCCCAAGTCATAGTAAAGTAAAAACTTGACAGAATTGAGACTCATTTAAAAGAATAGATGTGCAAGAAGGACATGGAAAAGCTTTTGTGTGTTAATGGTTGTATATAGGCAGTCAGATGTTTCTTAAAGGACATATTCTGGATGAATGTCACTCGTTATAAAGCCAGGTAAAAATAATTATGGTATCACTGAATATATATGATGCATTTAAATGGAGAATACGTGAAAAAAATATGGGGAAATTGATAAACATTAACATGCACACTTAATGTGTTGGTAGTGTAAGGAAAACGTTTCTATAAAATTGTCCGTCAGTAAAGGATGCTACAAATTGAAGCCTAGCTGCTAGGAAGATTAAAGAAAAAAGCTTGAATTTTTGTTTATTTAGAATGTACCACAGCAAAAACTACTTCTAACAAACTGATGCACCACTCTCCAGCAGCACTATATTTTTTATGTGTTTACTTCAGTTTTGGCTGTGATCAGAAATGACCTCAAAGTAAATATCTATTAAGAATGCCCCCCCCCCCCCAAGAAAGTTATTTCAAATGTGGTACTTCCTTCTTTTGCATCTGATGGAGAAAGGTGATTAGTAGACAACATAAAGGTTAAAGAGAGAGAGAAAGTGAGAGAAAGGAAGCTGTAAAATCATCTAGAATGACAGTAAAAATTAAAACCTTGGGGTTTGTTGGGCTCCCAGGTGTATTAGCTAATAAATATAACCATGCTTTAGTTCTGTTCATCTTCTGATTTTACAGGCTTTGCAAATGTTTGTGTTCAGATTAATGTATAAATGTATGTGTAAGTATGCATACACTTAGTGCGGCGAGTGTGTGTGTGTATAGTGCCTGCCTCCGTGCGCTCTCTGCACGAGTATGCCTGGGCGCGCATGCAGCAACCTTTAGCGAGTCTCCTAATAAACATTCAAATAAAATATACGTGTCCCCATGCACGAGTCTCCTCCTCCTCCTCCTTTCCTGCCTCTTCCCCACGCACCCACCTCCCCCACCCCACTTCAAAGCTTGTGGTCCTTTTTCCATCCTTGTACTAAAAGGTTTCTTTGTAAGCCAGGCCATTTGTCCGTCATTGTTTGGGGTCCAAACAGTGGTAAAATACCCTGTCACCGATCCAGAGTGCTGTGAATGGCAGCTTCTCTCCGGACAATTGGCGGTGGTGCCGAGAAATATTCCTGAGAGGATTATTTAACCTTTCAATTTAGGGGGCACAAAGCCTGGCTGATTAATGAACTTTCTGATGGGCGCTGATAAGCGGATCTATTTCTTTATTTCCTCTAAAAGTGATTCCTTCTCCTGTCCCATATTACTATAATCTTAAACATAAAATGTGGCAAATAGATTAAAAAACAGCACTAAAGAGTTTATCTGGCTGGCAAACTGAAGGAGCTAAATTAAAATTGGTAATGAAAGCAGTGGCTGAGCCCTGTATATGGTTTTTAAATGCGCTGTGTATTTTGAAGAGACTTATTCTCCAGCTTGCCTGGTAATGACTGCTTTTGGTGCACAGTCCGGGGCTGGCTTCTGTTATCCCCCCAAAAAAATGAGTTGTGTTATCTGGATGACTGCAGACACATATGCATCCCCCTTTCTCACTGCATGGGCAGACAAGGTCGATAGCATTACAAGGTATTTGTGGCAGTGCTTGTTTCAGTTTTCAGAGCTGCCAGTTTTCAGCCAGATTTGAATTACAAAAGAAGAAGCTGGCATGAAAATTGAAAGGGTTTATCGGCTAGTCTGAAGCCTCATAGCACATTGCTTATTTATGCAGTCCATTTGCACCGGGAAATGTAAAAAGGAAATACATTTTAAAAATAAGGTCATAAAGACCCAGATATGTTTAAGATGGCAAATAAAATATAGATACCTATAATATCTTTCCAGGAAACGATTTCACTTAATGTTGCACATTACTTCGGAGGAGCATTTATGTTACTGTCATAAATTTGTGCATTTGTGTCACTGTATAGATAGTCTCTGGGGATTAAGAAGGAAGTGTTTGCTAACTTACTTTAAAATTAAAATAGAAGAAAGATAGGTTTGTAGTTTGAGAGCTACATCAGAAATAGTTGAAGTTTAATGCACCATCCTATTTAAATAACGTTTTGCATTCCGTGTAAAATTAGCCATGGACGACTGGATAGATGCCACCACCTTTGGAGAAAATTGGGATGCCTTTTAAACCATGAAGATTTTGAGGCATTCAGGGATTGTATTGTTGTTATCCTTACTATCTTGCATATATTCATTTTCTCTACGAACTTGAGATTTTTTTGTCCATTTTTCAGAAAAGACTTTTTGAATTAGTATTTTAGTATTTTTTCTCTGCTTGTGAGAGTATCAAAAGATTACATTCATTTCTTTTAAATAGATAATATTGTACTTTTTGTCTCTTCCTTTAACATTTTCACACAGTCGATTGTAGATGCTATTTGCATCTATTTAAAATGCATTATATAAATGTCTTATTTCTGTAGAAAACGACCACTTCACAGTGCTTGTACTGCAGACCAAACAAGTCAAATTCCTTCTTCTGGGAAAGGCTGTCGTTTTCCAGACTGTGCAATCAAAAAATAAAATTTTGTCCATTGATTTGTAATTTAATGTGTATCAGGTACTTAAGGAAACCCAAACTAAAAGTTTACTTAGATCACTGTTTTCTTCGTTATTTTGCTGTGTTTTGTAGCCACCCAAAAGGACGGAAAGAATGTTACAAGCACATTTAGTAAACTCAGTTACAAGGTGTAATTTGTGGAAAGATACTCAGGTGCAACCTGAGTTGGAAGGGCAAGTTCTTTTAGGTGGCTGAAAAAATGAAGAAATAAAATTTGTAAAGAAATTATTCTATTTATAATTGTTTGGAGTTTGCGGAGGTTTAAAAGTCAAAATACTACATTTGTATGTTTCTCATTTATTAGCATGCATCAAGCTCAGTATGTTTCTCTCATGAATTTTCATAAGGATTTTTACTACGTAGCATGTGTGGCTTAATGATGCAATCACCTGATAGACTAGGAAGACTCCAAAGGAGACGTTCCGGTCTGTTGTGTACATAATTCTTGTTTCAAAAATCTGCCTAATTAAGGAATTACCCAATGGAATGCAAGTCTACTGGGTGCATGACATGGTTAAAGAAAATAACAACAACAAAAACCCTTAGTATAATTACGATATTACATGATATCTTATATTGGCAATTTTGAATATAAGGGAATGATGCTAACCTGCCATTGTTTCAGCCGGTATACAAGTAGATTATGATGATTTGTAAAGGGAAAATAAATGTATATTTTTCAGTGATAGAGCTGTTCTGACCGTTGCCCTGTCCAACTGCAGTCTACAACCCACAGTGTGTAATGATTCACTTGATGATCATCTTTCAGTAGCTCAAGAAATTGGTGAAGCATCACTGCTAATGAGTTTTACTCTCAGCCTTATGTCTTGTTTGTCTCAGTGAGTTGCACAAAACCAGACTGTGCGGTATGCAGAACTCGTGCATTGGTTGCGATGGGCACTTTGTTGGAAGGAGTGCCCCGGATCTGCTGTTTGGGTTATATAGGTGTGTGTCCCCCCTGTGCTTCTTTCTTTAATCCACCGTTTAATTACTTATCTTTAGAGTGCAACAAGAAATAACAGTAAAAATTATCTGTTAGATTAAGTATGAGCATAGCAATTGATATAATGGATCAGAAGAAATCACTGTCTCTTCTTGGCACGCAAGAACGGTGCTCGGTGATTTGGAGGTGGTGTAAGTAGCCGTAGCTAGCCAGCCCTGAGGTGTGCTCAGTGAAGGGTTTACAAAATTGTTCCCTTGCATGCTAAAACGGAGTTGCCCAAAGTGGTGTTGGACGTAACAAAACAAAAACCTCAGTGCAAGCCTTAGGCAGAGGCAGTGTGATAGCTGATGGTTGATGATGGATCGATGAAGGGCACAACCTTTGTTCCCTCTGATCACGAGACTCTGGATGGCACGGGGAACTTTTCTAAATTTTATTCAGTTCGAGTGGTTTCAGTGGCGCAGGAGGTAGGGTGGAAAGCTTTTCTTTTGGCAGGTACTTTATCAGTTTGGGTCCAGTGCCCCTTTGTGAGTTACCAGAGATGACTCTGCAGAGTTCAGGCTCGAGCTGCCGTTGGTTGTCCCTGAAGCTGGGTGTGTGTCGTCATACCAGTCTGAATCACAAAGTGTGCCATTGTGCATTATGCTGTGCTGTAGAAGTCAGTTGGCACGGCTAGCTGTGAGATGCATTTGTCCAACACGGGCAGTCTGAGTTGTACAAAAGGGTCTTGTCTCTGGTCCTCCACACCGTCGAAGTTCATGCATTGCATTATACAGAGGAGCAGAGAAATACACAAAAATGGAGGTCAGAAGATTTTCCTTAATTAGTGAGATTTAGCCAGATTGCAGATCCTAAGTAGTAATGAGCTTCATAAAAGCGAGCCCTCATTGGATCAAAGTCGGTGCTGATAAGGGGAGCTCAAGGTCACAGAGGGAGCTGCCCAGCAGGTCCATTTGCATAAAAAATTACTGTCAGAAATAGGCCAGAGAGGCAGCCCTGGCATTTTGATCTCTTGGCCTTTGTCATGGAGATTCCTAGTTGAGAAGGGAGGAAGGCCAGTGTCCCAGATAATGATTAACTGTTTTAATGGCATTCATTCATTCATTCCGCACTAACTACTCATGCAGAAAAAAGGGTTATGTAAAATGACATTAGAAGAAAAATCATTTGTAATCGTTGCATCAGGCTGCACTTTGAGGAGACATTAGGAGTAAATCCATGGCGTGGTAGGCTTATGCTTTATCTTCTGATATTTACTGAGTTTACTGGTGCATGAAAAGCTTTCAGCAAGAATAGCAGATGGGATGGACCTTTCATAGGTAATGCTATCTACCAGGTTATTACTTCTATATATTGATAGTGAAGTAATCTCCAAGATATCACCCTACAAATATAGATTATTTAAATGTTTGTAACAAAAAAACCTATAACATAAAGAAGCTACGTTCATGAATAGTTTATTTAGTACCCATATGGCTGAAGTCTTCAGATGCTTTTTTAAGCCTTAAATAATAAGAAAACAGAGGGTTTATAACATGCAGGTTTCGTTTTTGTTTGGCTTTGGAAAGGAGTAAAGTTATGTAGAGTTGTAATCTGACCTGCAAGTATTCAGTTTAATTTCTTTCCTTAAATGTGACCTTTTCTATTAACTGAACAAAAGGAAACGGGGCAGGGGGAGCTGGCTTGGGAGGGGGTGCAGAGGGGGGAGGTTGGGGTCACAGGGTGTGCGTTCTTAATAAGCGGGAGAGTCTGAAGGACTCCTGCACTGGAGGAAAGCCCCAGCATATGTGTTTATGCCTGGTTTTCAGGCGCATTTGTCCCTAGTGAGGCGAGGCCACTTCATGGGCGCTCCTCTCCTGCTGGCGACACAAGGGCAGCGGGGGGACGGTAGTGCAGCCGGCGCGTTGCACAGCCCTTAAGTTCCAGCTGGATCTCTGTTAGCCACAGAGAACCACAAGCGTTCCATAGTAGGAGGCATACCCGCGAGCCAATGCCAGGCATAATTTATGAGTCAGGTGAGTTATTTGCATCTCCTGCTGTGTGTTTAACTTTTGGATTACACTGCGGCACCTATTGAAGGAGTGTGTAAAGGCTCTTTACTTACTAATTTAGCCCTATAAATCACTACAGTGCTCCAGTGAGCGTGCTCCATTTCTTGTCAACATCCATACAGCTGGCATTTATTTTCAAAAGCCCAATTCAAAGCAGTGCAAGATCTTACTTATCTTTTTTATAAAAAGTCACAGTGTTTTGAACTCAGTGAAAATTTTACTAGAGTTTCAATACAAGAACACTAACGATGACCAAAATCATAATTATTTACACTGGAGGATGACCATTCAGCAGATGAAGGTGTCAGACTCTTCAGTGGGCGTTCTAGCAGACAACATCTTGGAACATAAAGGATCGTGCCTCTGGAATAATATATGGTTTTGTAACTGTGTGTTATTGTTACACTGCACCTTGCAAAGACCAAATAGTATAATCATGTAATTTTCAGACTGATGTAATGGTTCATTTTAAGGCCTGGCTGGCAGAAAGCTGAAGAGCAACGTAATGGTCTTGATTTTATTTTTGACAGCTGTACTGTACTAGTATTCTGGTCGCAGAGCTCTCTAGCAGACAGGGACTGACTGAAGGAACCTGTTGGGGTTTTGTGGCAGCATCCCAGTGTGGGCTTCAATGGACATCAGCTTTGAAAACAGATTTAACATGGGTAAAATTCTACATGGTGGTAAGGCAGAGGAAGGTATCACTCGTAGGATTTATTTCTGCTTTTTAGGATCCCTGTCCAAAGTGGAGGTGATTTCTGGGGCCACTCACTCATGCTGAAAACTAACTAGAATACAGGTGATTGATCCAGTAAATTAAACCCACAGATTTTTCCTCAAGGGGATTGTATTTGGGTTTTTTTCTTTCTTTTTCCTTGCCTGTTCTATGTCTTTATGATAAAAGAATACCTGAAAAACTAAGCCAGCTTAGTAAGTCACTTAAACACTACTGTTAGCTGGAGAGCTCTTGCTGTAAGACATGGATGAGAAATACACAAATTACTTTAGAGGTGGTGGGTTTTTTCCTTTCCCTGTTTCCCCGCCTTTTGTCACAAACCACCATTGGATGTGTCACTCTTCTTAGTCTTCCTTTAGCCTCCTTCTGGTGAGTGAATATGAACTGAAGAACGTGAATCTGAAACACACATTTAAACCCAAGGCTGAAGAAGTTAAAAATAAGGTGACCCTGCAAGTGTGATCAGATTCACAAAAAATGGCATTGGAAGATTTCTGTTGTTGCTGCCTATTTTACAAGCAGTGCTGTCATTCTTCTGGAGGCTATGCAGGAGAACGCAGTGCCTCTAACAGTAAAAGAGCATGGTGGTACAGATTTGAAGAAAAAAGCATTTCCTGTAATGAGCTTCACCAAGTAGTACTAATTTCTTTGAAATCTAGGCCACTCTTCTATGCTCCTTTAGCGCCAGAGAGAAGGAAATGCATGCAATGCCAAAAGCAATAAGGTCACTCTTTTGCCCTGCTGCTTTTTAGCCAGAATTCATGCACTCCTTGTTTGTACTTGTGCCAGCTCTTGCTAGGCATGGGCTCTGTGGCAGTTACTTCTCCAGGGGATGAATGTGCTTGCACGTGTGAAAAGTAAAGGAAGAGACAATATGTTCACCTATTCCACTTAGGGGTGCTAAATGGGGAAAAGAAAGAGAGCTGCCTGTTCCCCTGAATTTGATGGAGCGTGCTAAATATTCCTTTGCCCTACGTAAGTCCCAAGAGCAGCTGCAGACCGTAGCATCGTGTCTCCTCTGCTGGGAGCAGAACCGGTCCCCCATCCTCTTGGAAGGACTGGCAGGTTCTGCAGTGCGTCTGCTCCTGGGCACTGCTGCTGGAAGCAGGTGTAGGCTTGGGAATGCAGCGGGTGAAGGCCCCATATCTCTGTCAGATCTTTGCCATATTGCTTTAAGCAAGCCTAGTTCAGCAATACACAAATGTGCCTATCCAGCTGGTGGATACAATATCTGATGGCCCTGTCTGTCCCAGGGGATGGTGGGGCATCTGTGAGAGGGGGAGGGGGCTGGGAGACAAGGAGGAGGGGAGAGAGATAAATCAGCAGCCTATTTTCTTGTATTCAGAGCTGAAATAACATGGCCAGGTGGAATAGATATTGGGGATGCCTCTTCCCACCTCATTTGTGATGCTCAGGCTGAACCTTGCTCTGCAAAATTGCAGTAATATGAGCCAGTTGCTTCTTTTTCAAACTTAATATTCCAACAGCAAGC